TTAACACGTTAGACTGCACCCCATAAACACAATCAAGCCTATAAAGAAACCAGTCAACCACCCCTTTAAAGAGTTGGATTCTCATTCTGAACATGGCCAAAGTTTCCAAAAAACGAGTTGGACGTATGACATGAGTATTTCTGGGCCAAATAAACTCCTTCAGCATTCGTAAAAGTTTCAGAAAGTTTTTTTCAAGTATGGCCCTGTATGACGTCATTCCTTGTATGGGCACTTCTCCCGGAAGAGCGCGCGCACACATCAACCAGAGCCAGAGCAAGAGCACGCCCATCAACATGCTTCGTTCGGGTTCTGGAAGTCGTCGGCAGCGCTGCACAGGACTTGCTCAAGAAGGATTTGCCATTTTTGTTTTTTTGTTTCGAAATAAACAATGTCACCAAAGAGGTGTGTTTTTGGTTGTGAGGGAAAGATAACCTTATTCAGAACCCAGCGTTAAGGGAACAGTGGATGCAAATTGTTTCTCTGGGGCAGCAATGGAGTTGTGCAAGTGTGTTTGTTTGATCCCAGCATTTCGGTGACAAATGTTTTATAAACAAATTAAATAAAATTTTGGTTCCTGTTTTATTTATGTCAATGTCACAGCTTGAAGACAATCACTGTGCAAAAGCTTTGCATGCTCGTGACTCTTTAGCTCCGCCTACGGCACGCCTTCAGGAGCTCGAATGTTTTCAGAGAGAAGTGGTACAGCTGTATCTGTCTTTTATAAATCTGAAAAATCTGAAGACTCTTCAGAGATATATGAAGGCTGCAATACTTTTCTATAGGTAACTCAAGATTAACATGAGATTGGCAGAAACTGTTATGTCCCCTTTAATAAAAAAAACTAAAAACTAAAACTTAAATAAAAAATATACTATAGAACATTTCTAAACGTACTCACCTGGCATTTCAGGAAGAGCCCAACCTTCCACCTTTTTGCTTGGAATTTGGATCACTTTCTCTGCTGCCCAGTCCCCTTTCTGTAAAATGCAAAATCTGAAGCTAAAAACATGTATTGTTTAAAAACTGGGGGAGGGGCCATAAAACCAGCCTTTAAACCTTTAAAGAAGGTTAGAGAAGATTTTAATGCAAGCACTTTTTATGTACTTGCCAGAGTCTTGTAGAAGCGGAAGACGGTGCTCTGAAGCGCACAGCCCACGAATCCTTCAGCCGCAGCAGGGTCGTGCAGGAATCGGATCTCCAGAGGAACAGCACCCTCTTCCCCCAGATCCAGAGTCTGTATCCGCTTGTGTGTGGTCCAGTCCCACACATGGAGGCGCTGTCCATAATGACCTACAAACAGACATGATCATCACTGCCAGTCAGTTACAACGACTCTTGAACATACTCTTGAACATGAACATACCAGTTTTGACATCTGCAGGGTTGAAGCCATTTCCCAATGCTTTTGGAGCTCCCCACTCAGTGCTGATCATGACGTTGTGGCGAGGCTGGTACCAGAAGTCATAACCAAATGGTGCTGCTTCACCTGGCTGCTCCCAGTTGCCAATGACTTCGAAAGTCTCGCCATCCAACAACACAAAACCACCTTAAAATGAATAGAAATAAAAGGTAAGCATAAATGTGTACTGAAAATACAGAGCTGTGAACACAGCATCTTACCCTTGCCATTGCCAGAGGGATCGCCCATGGTACTGATCATGATTTGGCCACTGCCTAAGCAGTGAGAA